TTAAACATAAAAACAGCATTTTAATAACAGCTAAAGGTGGCATAGATACTTTATTATGGTATAGTATTTAAATATATGCCTAAGAAACACATAATATTGGCCCTTTAAGGAGTCCCACTGTAGCTGTCCTAATGATTAGTAGCTACTGCCTTTCAGCTCATTTCATCCCCGAGTTGCATGATTGGATTAAACGTGCATGCACAACTGAAGCTACAATTACACCACATAAAACTTGCTTCAGAGGACGGCTGCTGAGAGTGAAAGCACAGACTCCACACAGAGGTAGTGGCTGGTGAAATGTGCTCTGTCATATTGGAAAATGCAGATGAATTATGCAGCTCCTGTTGATTTATTATTCAGCAGCCAAGGCTGTCGTTAAACTCAGACATTTTGGAACCAGTTCATCCTAAAAACACATGTAAATGGAAGTGGTGTAATACGTTTTGCATGTTGAGGTGTCTGACTTTGTGGATTGCATTGTCTGTTTTGCTTCCTGAAGTTTTAAAATCAATTGGTCTTGTTGACATGAGGTGTTCAAGTGCATTTTAGCTGCATGTTTTCAAAGACATTTTAAGGCTCAGCAGTCAAATTGTTTAAAACTTGTTTTCAGGACATGAGATCCTTGTTGGAGGATTAGTCTTACCTGTTCTTGCTGCGGGTTATGATGAGGAACCTCGTGTGGACATCTTGAATTCTTGCATCTGACCTTGCTTTGCGGTTGCCTTCAGCTGACTCAGCAGTGGTGCATCAGTACTGAGTTACGGAGGCAAACACGCCTGTACTCCATCAGAGATGAGTAACTGAGGCATTGATCTGCCCAGAAATGAATTATAGCTGAAGTGGGGTGCTGAGGAAGCTATTATTGATCTTTTTTTGGAAAGCTTAAGTCTGCTGGGGTTAAAAAAAGAGAAGAACAGGAGAGTAAAGTCAAACTTTCCACACACACAGATAAAAATATACTTATTTTTCTTATGTAAAGAGACTGGTAAAAGATAACAAAGCTTGATAACATAAATGCATCCTTACCTTGTAACATTTTCTCTGCAGTAATCACTTCTGCACATTTATTAGCTAAAAGCTATCTAAAGTGCTGAGATGTGATTGCGACATTCATTTCAGTTTTGTTTCAAGAGGCAACACCTCGGTCAAAGATCTAGAGAATGCAGATAGGCTTGTTTATTATCAGATAGCTTGAAAAGACTTTGACCTTTGCTCTCKCTCTACCTGGTATAATCTGCGGGCTGGTTGGGGCACATCGCTCCACAAAGGCTGGATTGTTGAGCTCCTAGAATGTGAAGTGGGTTTTCAGAAGTTAAAAGCAAATGGAACGTGTATTTAATCCAAACTTTAACTAATACACTTCTTATAAATGCAAGTTTTCCTGACACATAAGCYACACAGAGCAACTCTTCCTAAAGTGGATCTGATGTGCCATCAGAYGTTATTGCAAAGATGAGACGGACTGCTTCACTTCGCTGCACTTGGACGATTTCTCATCTCTCCCAGAATCCCATGCTCGAGTGGAATATAATGGCATTAAGTCAATTTTGGTTATTGATGAGGGGAGTGTAACGGCTCGTCTGTTATGGGGTTGTGGTGCTGCAGAAATGGGGTTTCAGTGCCGTGGAAATTCAATCTGCCGGAATCCTGCCCGTGCTTATTCTATTTTTTAAATTATTCATGCAATTAGGCTGTTGATGTTTTCACTCACAGACTCACTCAGTGATCCGGAGAATGATATCAAATAACAAATCTTAGGCTTTGTGATGTAGCCGATCTCACTGGATCGCTTTTAGGGCTTGTAATGATGCGATTTGGGGGATTTCCAAATAAATGCTAGACTACGATACGCTTTGCAAAAGTTTCTAAGAAGACTCGTGGAAAAAGTGAAAGCTGCTGTTGGCAGCGGCATCACGGTAAAGAGAAATGACACGAACAGGTTTTTGATAGATGACTCTTTGGTGTCATTTGACCCTTCTGTGCCCGACTACAAGACCTAAAGGTGATATGAGGTGTCTGTATGGAGTAAAGATGAGATTAAAAAAGTGGATTTACAGATAAAAAAAATCTAAACATTAACTGATAGTTGTGCGTATTTGCAAACTCTTGAATAAGTTGAACAGTTTACAAATTTTTACTGTACGTTTTCTCTGTGAAAATGCAACCTGAAATGTTTAAAGCCTCACCAGGTTTGCATTTGTTTTTTATTTTCTCTATGAATACAAAGGGAAGTGTGCAGTTGTAAATAAAAAAGGGAAAGATGCATTGATATCACTGGTTGTGCATGTTTTCTTTCAACTTCATAGCATCAGTTGTTAATTATATAATTAAATATTACTTTAAAAACAACCTTGCATTCACAAACACACACATGCCTTTGTATTCTTAAAGAAAAAAAATGCAGACTTGAGCTTTGTATTTAGATATTCTTGAAGTTATTTTTTAAGTACTCAATGCAAAGTTATGAAGACAGAATCTGTGCAATATTTAAATTTGTCAGCAAAATATGTGACCTGATACAAACTACCACATGCATTTGTTTGCCTACAGAAATGGTCAAAGTGAGTAAAAATAAATCACTAATGGTGATATTCATGGCAGAGCCATTTGGGATCGAGAGTCTGACTGTTTGATTTATTTCGCTCATTATTATTAGGTAAGGTGGGTTAGCGTTGGACTAGATTTGGAAATAAAAATGTTGAAACTTACGGGTCTAGAAGTTTTGCCAAAACTGAATTTGTTGAAAAGTCGAGACCTTTTTGCTTTTCTGCCCTGCTTCATCCTTGATACCTATACTCCAGTTGTTTTTTTTATCTTTTTGTTTTCCTTTATGTTTAGCAGCTGATTTTCTCCAACTATACGTCTACATTTGTCCATATTTGTTACCCACAGTCAGTCTAATGTAGTTCAGTCATGTTACACAAGCTTCTGTGTTGTTTTTAAAGATTTCATCTGAGGGCTTTGAGTATATTTTGGAATTGCACATTGATATATCTGGAAAACTACTGGAGTAAACTCGTTCAAACTGCACTCTTTAAGATACAGTGGGTAAAATAAGTATTGAACACATCACCATTTTTCTCAGTAAATATATTACTAGAGTTGCTAATGACATGAAATTTCCACCCGTTGTCGGTAACAACCCAAGTGATCCCATACATACAAAGAAATCAAACCATAAATGTCCAGAAATGAAGTTATTTGTAATAATGTGGAGTGGCACAGGGAAAAAGTATTGAACACATGAAGAAAGGGAGGTGTAAAAAGGCATGGAAAGCCAAGACACCAGCTGAACTCTCTCAGTAATTAGAAAGCAAGCCTGCCCCTTGTCAGTGCAAGTTAATRTCAGCTGGTTCAGTCCCAAATGATGACCAGGTATCACACAAGAACCATCTGATGATGGGTAAAAGTRAAGAGCTCTCACAACCTTATTGTTGCAAAGCATAATGATGGCATCGGTTACAGAAGAATGTCTAAACTTCTGAAGGTTCCAGTGAGCACTGTTGGGGCCATAATTCAGAAGTGGAAAGAACATTATTTCACCATAAACCGACCACGACCAGGTGCTCCTCACAAGATTTCTGACAGAGTGAAAAGAATTATCAGAAGAGTTGTCCAAGAGCCAAGGACCACTTGTGGAGAGCTTCAGAAAGACCTGGAATTAGCAGGTAHGWTTGTTTCAAAGAAAACAATAAGTAATGCACTGAACCACCATGGCCTGTGTGCACGCTCACCACGCAAGACTCCACTGCTGAAGAAACAGCATGTTGAAGCTCCTTTAAAGTTTGCTGCACAACATTTAGACAAGCCTGTGTAATACTGGGAGAATATAGTCTGGTCAGATGAGACCAACATTGAACTGTTTGGATGCCAGAATACACATCATGTTTGGAGGTCAAATGGCACTGCACATCAGCCCAAAAACACCATACCAACAGTGAAGTTTGGAGGTGGGAACATCATGGTGTGGGGCTGTTTTTCAGCATATGGTACTGGCAAACTTCAAATAATTGAAGGAAGGATGAGTGGAAAAATGTACAGAGTCATTCTTGATAAAAATCTGCTTCCATCTACCAGGATGATGAAGATGAAACGTGGCTGGACATTTCAGCAAGACAATGAGCCCAAACACAAAGCCAAGGAAACTCTCAGTTGGTTTCAGAGAAAGAAACTAAAGCTGCTGGAATGGCCCAGCCAATCACCTGACCTGAATCCAACAGAAAATCTATGGAAAGAACTAAAGATCAGAGTTCATAGAAGAGGTCCACGAAACCTTCAAGATTTGAAGACTGTTTGTGTGGAAGAATGGGCCAAAATCACACCTGAGCAATGCATGCCACTAGTTTCTCCATACAGGAGGTGTCTTGAAGCTGTCATTGACAACAAAGGCTTTTGTACAAAGTATTAGATAAATTTCAGTAAGTGTGTTCAATACTTTTTCCCTGTGCCATTCCACATTATTACAAATAACTTCATTTCTGGACATTTATGSTTTGATTTCTTTGTATGTATGGATCACTTGAGTTGTTACCAACATCTGGTGAAAATTTCATGTCATTAGCACCTCTAGTAATGTATTTACTGAGGAAAAATGGTGACGTGTTCAATATTTATTTTACCCACTGTAGCTCAGGATAACCTTTAAGAAAACTTGGCACAAAAATGAAGGAATTAGTGTTTGTTAGATTGTTTGTTTACAATGCTTGTTGGCAATAAATCTTATGGTTGGCAGCACCTGGGAGTACTACGCTCAAAACAAACAATAAAAACAACAAAATAAGGTGTTTGGCAGAGGATTTGGCAAATTATTCACGTGTGTAACCCATATACTCGGCTGCTCATCTCACAAATGCATGTTCCTTACAAATGTGGCAGCGTTAATGATTGTTGCCAAGAAGCATCGTTACAACAAACAATCTGCCAAAACACAAATTTCCTTACTTTTTGTGCTGTTTATTATTTTATAGTTTGCTCCTTTAAAACATTGTTTTACAAAGTAAATGTACACATTGTACAAGTAAATGTACAATGAAATTGACTTTCACAATAATTTAAACGTTTCTTGTCAGCCAACATGCACAGATGTTTACCTGTAAATTTGTTATATATTTTTATGGGGACCTTCGTTTTCTTCTTCTGGCCCTTTAAAAGCGGAAGTCCCGGTTTTGCCCCTCCGCTGCTCCGAAGGAGCTCCGTATGGTCTCCCCTTAGAGCAGCTGGGGCATCGCATCGGAGGGAGGGAGGGAGGGGTGCGTCTGAAACACGCCGGACAAAAAGGCGAGCAGACACGGATAAAAAAAACCCGCCTCAGTCGCAGATGGCTTCATTTTAAGCGAAGAAAGGCGAGTGGGGGAAGCCCGGACCCGGCTGGGTGAACCTGTTTGCGGTGATCATCACGGTCCGGTGCGGCGGGGGAGGAGAAATGGCCCACCGGCTCCTGGAGCTCCTGCGGGGCTGAGTGAGCGGAGATCACGACGCTTCTTCCCGGAGATGGTAAAGACAGGCGAGCGGGGAGGCAGCGACCCTGCAGGAAGAGGAGGAGGAGGAGTGGGAGAAGGAGGAGGAGGAGAAGAGAAGGAGACCAGAATGTCACTTTTCTGGAAATTCGGCGCATGGGTTGAAATCGCTCGGCCAGCACATGAATGAGCTGCTGATAGAAACGAACTGAACCCGGTGTTTGTTCGCCATTGTGCATCCCTCAGCACATCCATTATTATGTGCAGGGGTGGGGGGGTCCGGTGGGCGTCACGGAACACGCGCGTGTGCGTTCAGACAAACAGTTATTTTTAATAGAAAACATCACTGAATCGACCCCACCGGCTTCCCTGTTCGTTATTGGTCGCTTTTGAACTGTATACTCCCGTCTGTGTGTGTGCGTGCGCGTGCGYGCGTGCGTGTGTGTGTATGTGTCCCCCCTCCTCGCGCTCACTCAGCCTCACCTTTTCCCCATCCATCCAACCGCGCAGGACCTTCTGGATCGTCCGCCGGCTACCGCAAGGCAGATGACGAGATGTCCGGGACCACTTCCCAGGCCGAGCCCGTAGACGCCTCGGCTCGGACGGTGCTGCTCAGCCGGCCTCAAAACACCAAGTTCTGCGACAACCACGTCAGGTAGGTGTCACTGCAGAGCTCCRAACTTTTCACCTTTCACACACAATCTGCCTCCACACCAGCAATAATCAGGATTAACTCTGCAATTTTCATCATTTTTGTGATAAGCTTATTTAGGCAAATTGACCTAATCTTTCTACTGCACTTTGCAGAAATATATAACCCAACTTTTAGATTTAATTGAATAGTTTTTAGACCGTTATCTTTATTAACCTAAAAAGTAAAAGATGATTGATGTTTGCCAAACGAAGCGTTGGATCCGCTGCGTTGAGTTGAAGGACGATCTCTGACAGCAGCTAGACTTTGAACCTTTTTTCCCTCCCTCATCAACATTTAGTTTCCTGAAGTGACGGTCACGTTTGTTGGTATATTTCTGAAAACCCATTAAGGACGTGTAATAACTCACTCATTAGATACTTTGAAGCCATCCCATAAGGGGTTGAGCGTAACGTGTCACCGCTGTAGTAAAAAGTGCTTTGCTTAACAACAAAACACGACATAATCAATATGTCCTCATGAATATTTAAGGCTGCTGGTGAAGTCATGGTGGCTACATTTACATTTGCAGTTGTTACCATAAATTACAGAAAGCACCTTAGCTGAATCCAACTGTCTCCAAGGTGCGTTTGGGAAATTAAGAGGCGTTAAAACCTGTTTTCTGTGTCTCCAGTCAAAAGGCTGCAGGGGTAATTAATAATTTGCAACTCCTCCTGTGGTTTTGGCTGAATTTCTAAATAGTGTGTAATTCTATGTCACTGGACCAAATGGCACAAGGTCTCTTGCATCATCCCAGCTGTCATCAGCATATATCATAGACTCAGTTGTGATTATTGCCTTTTTGTTTAGCCTTGTGTTTTGTGACTGAAAGGCGTGTTGCATTCAGCACTCATGCTATTATTGTATTAGGAAGATTCAGTTTCCCTTTAAAACGAACCCATTTCAACTCTGCAAATGGGATTAAGGCGGGTCCTCGTCAGATAAGTTCGATTTTGACCGGTCCAGTGTGGCGCTCTGCCTCTTGTTTGTGTTGGTTAGTGAGGCTCCTGCTTCAGGAGGAAAGGCTTSTCATGTCCTTGTGTTCCTGTAACTCTTTACGTTGTGTTTTAAAGGTTCAATAGCCTTATTGATTTTCTGTTTTCAGAGATTAAAGCCTTGAAGCTTTTAATGTGTATATTCAACCATGCTCCTCCATTTCCACAGCCAGACTTTATGCTGGTAATGGTATTTTTAGAGATTTTCGTGGCCAATTCCAGTTTCCAATAGGCTAAATTTGGAGTTCTACTAACAAACTCCAACAAAATCATATAAGTAATTTTTAATCTCTAATTTCTGAAAGAATTTAATTTGACTGTGTTCATAATAGTGTTCGGCAAAACCGTATCATACAATTATTTGTCAGAAAAACAATTAATTAATATTTGCCACTTTGCAATTACTGCAGTTAGTGACATGATGATGATTTTTGTGAGCGACTCACTCTCACTATCAAGTGCACATGTGAGCCCGTGCCATATTGYGTTACTAACCCTTTAAGCCCACAAGGTTTTAGAAGATTTCCTTCAGTTCTGTTGTCGGCCCTGTACAACAGGGCTCAAAAGGCTAAAGAAATGCTGCCACTCTAGATTGTAGAAGAAGATAAGTTTCAATTCAAGGCTTAAAATTTTAACCTGTTAAAATGAAGAATGGAATGCATTTATTATCTACAGTATTATTTGTCATTTTGTTATCGCTAAATGACAAAATTAATTTTGATAATTTTTTTCAACAATATTGTCCAACCTTAGTTTGTAATAATAARGTTTATTTTCTCCGAAACGGCATCAAATTGCAGGGCCTTCACTGTTTGTTAGTGGAAATCTATTATCTAARTCATTTCAGTACAAATAAAATCAGTTTGTAAATTAATTACAGTATTTCTCCTTTACCAACCCAAAGTTCTTCAGTTTTAAATTTTTTAACAACTATTTAAGTTTACCAGATAATCAAACAAAAATAAAATATAGGTCTCTGAAAGTAATTTGAACTTCCAYGTTCAGCCTTTAAGGTATTAGAAACATTGGGCCTCATGCAAGAACCGTTCGTA